ACGTCCTTTAAACAAGGGAATATGCCAGAGAAGGAGAAATAGCAATCTAATTTTGTCCCAGACCGAAAATAAAAAAAACTATAACAACCACTAGTCTCACCGGAATAACATATGAAATCGGCCTGTAATCGGAATGCAGGCATATGAATATGTATAGCGAAATAGAGAAAGATTAGATATTAGAAATCAGAAAAGAGAGGCATGGGAAACGTGTGGATTAAATCCTCGGGAACAAGAAGCCACCTGAGCTAGTGGTGAACCTGAATGTGAGTGTTGTCGCTACTTCCGAGACTCTAAGCAAGGTTAAGATGCAGCACGCCGTTAATTCATGCAGCTAGTTGGGGTATATCATCTTCCTCGGTAAGTAATCTCTGGTGCCGCCTATATCTTTCAAGGAAAACTCCTACTAATGTTAGAAATCCAGAGCAAATAGATGCGTAGAATGCCACCAGGTACGCCGTCGAATAGCACTCCAGTCCCATACTGCACTGGCGTGCACCATCAGGCAACACCTTCGAGTGGCTGTCATATATGACACCGTAGATGTAATTGAATATATGACCAAAAATTGCGGCGGCGAGAGTCATAACGCCCCAGTTCTGGGAAAACCCAGATATTCCAAATGCATGGGAAACAATGGCGGGATAAACTCCGAAGAGTACACCATATGCTAGGCCTGTCATGGATGAGACGAAGAGAAGGTAATGAGGGTTGGAGATTTTGGCACCACCGAACTGAGAGATGCAGAAGAGGATGTTGGCCACGAAAACACACCAAAATCGAGACATGTGCAAGCGTTTGACGATAAAGTCGGATCCGATTCCTGGTCAAGGGCATGTCAAGCGTCATGTTTAGTCGAGCGCAGGATCAGGGGGTTTACCTACCGCTGAGGAGACGCCCTGTAAAGCTTATTACGGAGAATACGGAGACATGTAGAGCTTGTCGTTCCCGAAGGAAGTGCGAATCAACGTCAGGGTCAACATGTCTCCATAAAGCCATGACCTATACTTGGCTGTAAATAATTGTAACCACGCATGATGAGGGCGTATATCTTACATCATTACCAATATTGCTAGTTACGAAGTTAGTTATATTGGAAAATGATGAAATCAGCTTTGCTTCGTACGTACTTGATGGTCATCAAACCAACTCCAGTGGAGATACCGAGCAGCAAAAAGAGCTGCCAAAACTCCGGGGTAGGAAGGAGACTCAGTCCTCGTATATCGGGGCCAGCAGCGAGGGCACCGTGTTTTGCCTGATCGTACTGGGAGAAACTGCCACTATCACTCAAGGACCTGGTCCTACTCATCAACGAAGAGGTTTCGTCTGCCTCAGCATCCGGTGGCGCGGGTCTTGGTTGGATAGCACTAGGCAGTACGGCAGTAACCTGTGCAGAGGAGAAGGACGCGATGGCACGGTTCGAGTCGGTCTCAGAATCCTCTTGGATATTTTCAGCCGGTTTAGTTCTTTGCAATAGATTTAAGTCGGGATATTCACCATTCGAAATTGCAGAGTATGATGGCGGTGGAGGCAGTAGCTGTAGGAAGTACGTGCAGACCACTATTATCAATGACGGGCCTAGAGCAAGCAGTAGAAGAAACTCGGAGGTATCATCCTTGAACGCCATGGCTGATATCGCCGAGAAACCAAAAGCACTAAGACCAAAAGCAGCGAGCGGGAACGCAGTTGCGGACCCTCGATGGTCGGGGAAGTTGTTCGCGGCTATTGTGCATGTATGAGTACCTGATATATCGCTTGTTAAGGAGCACTTAGATAATCCCATACCGGTCTTAATTGCGGCAGCAAACGCAGCACAACTTCCAACTCCTGAGAGGAAGGAGAAAAAGCATAGGAATATGACACTTAGCGAACCTGCACCGGCAGCATATGCTACAGTAAATGTTAGGATATTCCAAGGGTATCACCTAATGTAGTATTAAGGGTTAATAGAACGTGTCTAACCTAGGTGAATTGGAAAGTAGCCGCAGAACAGGGCAATGGCACCGAAGAGAGCAACCAGTCTAGTTCCTTTGGTGTCCACGATATATCCTATGGGGATACCCACTGCGTATACACCTACATTTCCAGCAGCACCCTATGAATACGTTAGTCAGTGATGAAGGTCCCAGGAATAGTCGGATTAAATCAATACTTACAATCATATTGCCATCAGTCGACGTGAGTTTCAGCCGATCTGCAAACTGTGGTGCCCATGCAGAATAGACATACTGTGTATGCCCGAGCAGTTAGCCGCCAAGGTTTCAAGAGGCTCTCTGTGCGCCAACATCAGATTAGATATTTGATCAACTTACGTTAGTTCCACTTGCCAGCGCGACCAGGGTTCCTGCAACCACAGTCATAAACCGAAAGGCGGTTGGCGTTATGTAGGGGATTGGAGGCGCCATGATAGGCGCGAGAGCTCCGATGAAACGTGCAGCCGAGGCGCTGGCGTAACCATAGAGTGAGCTGCCAAAGTTAGCACGAAGCAAAAGGGAGCTTCAAGGACTTTTAAATTGACGGCAAAGACCAGCAGACGGAAGGGAAGAAAAAAGGGGTATATCCACCCGGGTTATATAGCTCTCTAGCCGAACAATCCAGGCGCATCATCTGGGTCCCTCTTGTGATGCACTAAATATAGCGCTCGGGTGTACGTACTCTATTTTATGAGACCGCGGAAGGCCAGTTCGGCGGCATGAAGCGGCTAAATGGAGTGGATTTAACGGCTACGAGGCCCTAGGAACTGTCTCAAATACAGGAGCAAAGCAGCGAAATGATATCAAAACGACAGCAAAGCGCAAGGCAGCTTTCGTCTTAAGGCTGAAAATTGCCGAAAAAGTCGCTTTTTAGCCGGCAATTGCTTATGTAAATATTACATAAGCTTAACTTACATAATAGGATGATATAATCGTGACGTAATATGCCAAGCACTACTGCATCACGTGCGCTTCTCCCGGCGAGGCAACTTTCATCGTCATCTTTGCGGGTTGTTCGCAGTTCAAACACCGTCGACAAACACGCTGAAAACGCATAACGAGCCCCCAGTTTTGCCTGTTACTTCTCCTTGGAGGGCATCTAGTGAGGCCGGCAACATGGGCGCGCTTCTCTCGCTGCCTTTGATGGCACTTCCGAGCGTTGGAACAGTACGTAGCCGCCTACCCGCCCTCCTTTCGATTCAACCAAACTTGAGCTGCAGCTGACAGGGAGTATATAGCTTTTGACGTTCGGCGCTTCATGCTGCGGTGCAGCTACATGCTCTGCGATATGTAGTGCATGTGGGAAGTTCCAGAGCAGGTATGGGACATTATTTTGAGAAACTCGGCTTCTACGCCATCAGGGTAACTAATCGTTTGTTTTAGCATGGCCACTCGAATCGCATACGCCTTCATGCTCCTGATAAACTCCATTCTATCCTGGGTTATGCTCACTCGATGGGCGCTTAACAAGCTTGAACACCTTACTTTCGACTTCTTACCTATAACGTGTGATGGCCAGAAGTGTCATGGCTGGGTTGCTGTCCACCGAATTAACTTTGCCTTGGGTCTCTTCCATATCATACTCGCTGTACTTCTTATAGGCGTTCGGTCTACGAAAGACGAACGAGCAAAGCTACAAAATGGATTCTGGGGGCCAAAAGTCATCATCTGGCTTGCATTTATTGTCTTGTCCTTCTTCATCCCGGAGAGCTTCTTCATCGTATGGGGGAACTACATTGCTTTTGTCGGAGCAATGCTCTTCCTACTCCTCGGCCTTGTCCTCTTGGTCGACCTGGCTCATAACTGGGCCGAACTTTGCTTGCAGAAGATCGATGAAACTGATTCAAGACTATGGAAGGGCTTGTTGATCGGCTCTACCCTTGGAATGTATCTTGCCTCTATTGCTATGACTGTGCTCATGTACGTCTTCTTTGCCGGTCACAACTGTGCTATGAACAAAGCTGCCATCACCGTAAGTTCCGGATATTCTAACCCTAGTTCTACGCGAGCATATACTGACATGTTTAGATAAATCTTTTGGTCTTCCTTATTGTTTCCTTCATATCCATACAGCCAGCGGTACAAGAGTCTAACCCTCGTGCTGGATTGGCCCAGGCTGCTATGGTCACTATCTACTGCACTTACATTACCATGTCTGCCGTGTCCATGGAGCCAGATGATAAACAGTGCAACCCTCTGCTACGTGCTAATGGCACTAGAACCGCCTCTGTTGTTCTTGGTGCAATAGTCACCATGTTAACAATTGCTTATACCACAACCCGTGCTGCCACTCAAGGATTCGCCATGGGATCTAGTGCTGCTCAAAACAACTACGCATCCCTCAGCCAGGATGAACCTGAGCACGGTCTAGTCGTCCAGCAACCTGGGCTCACTCGTCGTGAGATGCGCGCGGAAGCTCTTCGTGCGGCCGTCAACAGTGGCAGTTTACCTGCCAGCGCTTTGGACGACGACGATGACGAATCTGATGACGGTAACTCGAAGGACGATGAGCGAAACTCAACTCAGTACACATACTCCCTATTCCACTTCATTTTCCTCCTAGCAACAATGTGGGTTGCTACTCTATTAACACAAAACCTCGACATGGAAGCCCAGGACGACCTGGCCCCTGTCGGCCGCACATACTGGGCCAGCTGGGTGAAGATTATCAGCGCCTGGGTGTGCTATGCTATATATCTATGGACCCTAGTTGCGCCGGTACTTCTGCCCGACCGCTTCAACATATGATCTGATGTTTTTGCTCTATATTTTTTACCGGCGTTAATTCTGGCTTTCTATTGGTACATACCCTACCATATGTCATACCGTTCTTTCCAAGCATATCACGCCATCTATGTACTTCTGTATTGCTGTATCGACAGGGAATTAACAGAATATATCTTCCTCTAATTATTGTAATTATATTATTCATATCGAAAGCGCACGTAGAAATAGCTGATGACGTCAGATGGAACAAACGTTTTTTTTTTTTTTTTTTTTTGGTCTTTCTTAAACGCGAGACGCGCAGCATCAATAACAACCTGCTAGTTAGCTAGGCGACAATGGAATATCTTCAACACCACACTGCTGCCACCATGACATGAATATGGCAACAATCAAGCCTATCGAGGCTCGCTCGGTGAGATCTTATAGTGAACGACGCTTGCCCCTGTTTTCAAGTCTCTAATACCACTTCAGGTTCACCAAATTCAGTCGGGCCAGGTCATCGTTGACCTCTGTTCGGTGGTTAAAGAGCTGGTTGAGAACAGTCTCGATGCCGGCGCGACTTCTATAGGCATGTACAATTGATCAACCAGTGGAGAGAACATGGCTAACCGGTGTTTCTGTCCCACGTAGATGTGCGTTTCAAAAACAACGGTCTGGACCTGATTGAAGTTCAGGATAACGGCCATGGAATATCACCGAACAACTATGAGTCACTGGGTAAATACCATGATCTTCCTCTAAAGGAACAATTCGACTGATAAATTATATAGCATTGAAACACTACACGTCCAAACTGTCGACCTTCGCAGACCTGACATCCCTTCAAACATTTGGTTTCCGTGGCGAGGCTCTCTCTTCACTATGTGCAGTCTCAAACCTCACTGTCGTTACTGCGGAAGCGCAGCAGGCCCCTAGAGCTTCGAAGCTGGACTTCGAATTCTCCGGGAAACTCAAAAGCACGCAGGTAGTTGCTGGTCAAAAAGGAACGACGGTTTCGATTGAGAATCTATTCAAGCCGCTACCTGTTCGCCGGCGAGAATTAGAGAAAAATGTTAAAAGAGAGTATGGAAAGGTGATAGCGCTGCTACATGCGTATGCATGTATAAGTACGGGTGTCCGTTTCAACGTCAAAAATCAGATGCCGAAGGGGAAGAGCGTGGTTGTTTTCACCACGAAATCAAATCCTACGACACGGGAGAATATTTCCAATGTTTATGGCGCAAAGACATTACTTGCGTTAATGCCGCTTGATTTAGGCCTGGAGTATGAGCCGAGTACTGCGGCAAAGAGGTTTTCCAGCCAAGCTTCCAACAAAATATTTGTGCATGGTCACATATCCAAGCCAGTATTTGGAGAAGGAAGACAAACACCTGATCGGCAGATGTTCTTTGTGAACTCTCGACCGTGTGGGCTACCTCAAATTGCAAAGGCTTTTAACGAAGTTTACAAGTCGTTCAATTTATCGCAGTCACCGTTTATCTTTGCCAACTTTGAAATGGACACGAGTGCGTACGACGTTAATGTTTCGCCAGATAAGCGGACAATCTTGCTCCATGATGCCGGTGCTTTGATCGAATCTTTGAAGGCATCCCTTACAGAACTATTCGAAAATGAAGATCAGACCGTTCCTGTTTCTCAGCTTACATTTAGCAAGCAAAGCCAATTAACATCAAAGCGGGGACAGACTCCACCGGCCTCGGTCGATGCAATACAAGACAAACCGGAGGAACCACCAGGTAATGCAGTGTATAGCCAAGAGTTAGGACAAGATGATATTGTGGAAGAAAACGGCCCAGAGCCTACCCAAACACCGCCATCGTCAATAAGGGAAGCCCTTCAAAGATTTGAAGGTGATGGCCAGGAGAGCACACCACCTAATACCGACATTACAGTCGAAAATGATCCGGTCATCCCTGAATCTAGTGGGGCTTATGATATCCCATCTAATATCAATGATGAGGCAATGGAGGGTAACCCAACTCAACCTCAGCAAGCACAGGAACAGCCCATCTCAAGTAGCCTCTCGTTAGGCACACCAACTCACAAGCCTGGGGTGGTCCAAAATGCTTTTGATCGAATGCGAATGAACCGGACACCTGTAGATGTGACGACAATTACCATAGGGAACAAGACCTACCAGTCGACTATTGGTAGAGATCCGGTGAAACGAAGGCTGGATAGTTATCCAGGTTTGCACTTGCACTCACCTTCTTCAAGGACACGAGCTGTTACTGTTAGAAGTAAAATAGGCCGAAGTATTCAGTCATTCACCGCCCCTGGAACACAATTAGAGCACGGACAAATCCATGATGACCCCATCGAGGATGATGAGGGTGAGGAGGACAATGAAACACAATTCATTGGTCGTCTAAACGGAGGTAATGGCCCTGAAGAAGAACCAGAGGGAGACTCTGGAAAAGACGGTAGAGGAGAGGAGGAAGTCGATGGTGAGGGCCATACTGATGAAGCGCATGAAGAGCGTCAGGTAGAATCCCTACAGCAAGGCCAGACAATTCACTCCGAAGACACTGGTTCTCCGGGCTCTGGTTCTGATGAAAGCTACGTTGACGATGATGAACGAAAGACCAGGGAAGATGCAAAAGTCAATGAGCTAATCAAGGCCGCAGAGGAAGCATCTGCCGTTCCTTCAGAGCATAGTATCGAGCGGGCAGAGAGACTGATCCGAAAACCTCGCAAGAAAGATTCTACACATGAGCTAGCCTGCACTATCGACGCTTCTATTGAGAAGATTGAATCTCAGATGAGAGCTCTTCAGAGGGGAATGGAATCATTGAGTAACAGAGGGTTACATAGAAGTGAAGATGCAGACGATGACGGCGACCAGCAGATTGCCCCTGAGACAAAGTTGTCCCTTGCAGTCTCGAAGAAAGACTTTGGCAGAATGCGAATAATCGGGCAGTTTAATCTTGGTTTCATCCTTGCGACAAGGCCGAGAGTTACAGAAGATGATAACTCTTCTTTATCCCCATCAGCGGAGCAAGTGCAAGATGAGTTATTCATCATTGATCAGCACGCCTCAGATGAGAAGTATAACTTTGAGCGTCTCCAAGCTGAGACGACAGTGCAAAACCAAAGGCTGGTGAAACCAAAGACACTTGATCTAACCGCTGTGGAAGAAGAGGTTATCATCGACAATCTTGCTGCATTAGAAAAGAATGGATTTATTGTTGAAATAGATACCAGCGGTGACGAGCCCATCGGTAGACGGTGCAAGCTGATTAGCCTACCGCTAAGCAAAGAAGTTGTCTTCGATACTCGGGATCTGGAAGAGTTGATTGTTCTGCTTTCTGAAGCACCGCAGCAATCACAAAGCAATCTAGGCAAACGGGCTAGGGACGAACTCGATAGTGATGCGGAGCATATTGAACCATCAGGCGTGGCTTCATCACCCTTCTCGGACTACCTTGTTCCTAGACCGAGCAAGGTGAGAAAGATGTTCGCTATGAGAGCTTGCCGGTCGAGTATTATGATTGGAAAAAACCTTACCCATCGGCAAATGGAGACTGTCGTGAAACACATGGGAACTATAGACAAGCCATGGAACTGTCCGCATGGAAGACCTACTATGAGACATCTAGTGAGCTTAGGACAGTGGAATGAATGGAGTGAGTGGGATAGCCACAAAGAACGCTGGTCTAGGGCTGGGAGGCGACCAAGGAGTATCAAACATATATGGGAAGAATTTGTCGAAGATTACGGCTCGTAGGTGGGATGCTATCTAGATACCTATTTTTGGGTGCTGCCATTTAGACTGCGGGCATCATTTGCTTGTTAATATATTTTGGATACAAATCAAGACAACTATATAAACCAGATCTCAAATTTCCCCAACTCTGCAGTCCTGTTTACATGCTGGTTGGGCAAAATTGAGCAATTCAGCCTCTTCTATGACAGATCAAGGGGTGAATATAAACCGGCCCGTGGTAACCGAACAAGGGGAGTCCACTCTCATAAGAGCGTCAGAACAGTTGAAAAGTAACCATTAAACGCCAAAAACGCCATGTTGGGTCCTTTCAACTGGGCCTAAAGCCACTTCTTCAGCCAACTCTGCGCCGGCTTCTCAACTCTTCCCACCCTCTGATCCTCCTCTTCCGCTAATCTCAACGTCTCCTCAAGAACTAGCAAATCCCTTTCCATGACTTCCGCGAAGTTCTGCAAATCGCCAACCTCCTTTAAGCCATTTTGGCCTTGATCCAGCAGCTTTTCCAGCTCTTTGCTCTGTTTAGATACATCCTGGGTGGTCCGCTTCAGATCTTCCTGTTGTTTGTCTATGACAGCTGCGTTGTCATGCAGAGTTCCGGCTCGAGTGCGCAGGTCGGCATCAAGATTGGCGCCGACAGATTTGAGAGAAGCCGTAAAGGCAGCACGGGCTTCCGCCGTTTCGCTAGAGCGTGATTCATCAGAGGACATCTTAGTGTATGATGTGGCTTGGTATCTGTACTTGGTAGGTGTTTGAGCGGGATAGCAATCACCGACTGAATGGACCGAAATATATCAGATTAAGGGAATCGAGATTCTCTGTTGCTATTGAGCGGCCTCTTGCAGGTGGTATTCGACTCTTTTGACTGATCATGAAGAAGCGAGTTGGTCTTGGAGATGTTTTTGATCTGATGACCAGAATACCCGATTAAATACCCCGCATCTGTGGTCCGGTAAATTAATTCGTTGGCCAGTCAAAGTGTTGGATATCAATTACCAGATATCAAATATCATCGCAGGTCTTTTTGCTGGCCAGCGACCACGTCACAAATGACCAGAATATATAAGTTAACTAGGCGTCAACCCTGATAGAATTATGGTGGATAATAGCGAAGTCAAGCAGAGAGAACCTTGGAACAGTCGAGCTTAATATACTAGTTATCAAATTTGATATATTTGATACATTCAATTTATCAACCTGAACTACAAAACAAAATATCAGGTTGTTGAGAACAAGCAAATGAATATCAGGTTTAGACGGCAGTCGACGCGACAGAGTGCGCCTCGACATGTTGGGTAGCCGGTTGTTTCGCCATTACTTCTCCTTCGGACACAAAGTCACTACCAGAAACACCCACAACCTTATCACCAAATGATGTTGCGATTTTCTCCAGGGATTGGTGTTTGGTTTCTCTATTTGATGGTCAGGACGGCATACTTGCATATATCAGAGAGGCTTGCTAAGGGAGTAAATGACTCACGGAAAGCAGAAATATCCAACAATGAGAGAAAGCAGAGTGCAGGCAACAAAAACGTAGTGATAATTTTCTTTGATATTGGAAAATGCACTTGGACCAGCTCAGTAACTATATTGAAGTGTCAGAAGCGAATCATGGATGTTAGCGGGATACAGGAGTTGCACACTGCCAACATTAACTATAAAGTGGGAGGCAGAACCAAGGCCCATCACTTTGCTTCTAACGGAAACAGGTAGTACCTCCGCTCCATAGAGCCAGGTGGTGCTGTTAAGCATGCCATCTAACCGAGAACCTTTAGTATCAAGTAGGCCCAAGTGGTAAATTTTATTTGAGCCCTTACAATAGTTGACAACGAAGAGGTAGATTCCCAGGATGGCAAACCCCTTTCCAACTTGGTTGTTCGTGTTTTGAAAAATCCGTTGCATGCCTGCAGCGTATATTTCTATCAAGATAATCCCAGATAAGCCTGAGAGAATCATCCTAGAAACGCAATTCAGTACCCAACTTGCGACGTCAATTGCTACTGATGACTTACTTTCGGCGGCCCCATTGATCGGTAAGGTATAAAGCAGTGATACAATTTGAGAGAAAAGCAACAGTGCCATACACCACAGCTAAAGCGAGAATTGTCTGCAAGCCGATACCCAAAGATTTATATAGAATTGCTATCTAGACTTAGTCACGCAGTTGAGGGGGAATCCATAGTTACTCACTCTGATAATACTGGATGACATTGACGCCAGTGAGGCTAGTCATAGTCTGAACGGCAATGGAGACAAGAGCTCGATATTTGAACAGATTGAACACTTCATGGATGGAAGTAACTTCTCTCCGCATCTCGTACTCGATCTGTGCCTTCATCACCGTAAATTCCTCCAAAGACTCATGCAAGTCGTAATCACGGCGAATCTTCAGGAAAGCAGCACGCGCCTCATCCACCTTGCCAATTCTAAGGAGTTGACGAGGGGAGTTTGGCATGAAGGTAGCAAGGCCGACGAACAAGATTATTCCCCAGGGGATCTGGATGCTGAGAGGGAGACGCCATTGTACTGGACCATAAGGGGCATAGGAACATGCAAAGCCCACCCAGTTAGACATCATAGTTCCTAATGCAATGCCACAACCAGATATACCGCCAATAAGCCCCCGTTGATTCGGTGCAGAAATTTCACTGAGGTAAATGGGAACAGTGCCAACTAGCCCACTTTATTTTTATGTATTCTGTTAGTTTCTGGCTCGTAATGGAGGTAAAAGTGGGTGTATAAATTTCGGATGCAGGACTGACCCTACAGCATAGCCTGCAAAAGCACGCCCGGCAAGGAACACTCCAATATTCACAGAAGCTGTTTGGATGGCTGTCCCAGCGGTGACCACCACACACATGAACTGCATGAACCGAATACGGCCAAGTTTGTCGCCAATGAAGGTCTGAGTAAGGGCACCAACAGCCTCCCCTGCTATATAAACAGCAACAACCTTTTTGTTCTTGTCAGTGGCACGATACTGATCGGGATAGGCTGAATCTGCAGACTTACAGCCTCTGTAAATCCATTGGATGGATGTTTTATATAACTGATCCAGCTTTTGTGTGCAATTGCTAGATCAAATCAGCCCCCTCCAAGCGTACATAATAAGCACAACGGCCGTGTCTTACTCGTCGTAGCAATACCAGTGTCAAACCCCTGGAATATTAATTAGCTATGGATCTCATTTTTATAAAATAGTTATATAAACATACGAAGAGATATGACTCGATTGCTGCGAAAAGGGCAATCCCAACGGTATACCGGAAGCCCATTGCGAAAAATGTTCATGAAGCAGCCGAAGATCGCTGAATGGGATCCTCGTGCCAATCCATGGGACAAGCGGCAGATACTTTTATGCATTTCCGCCCGTAGGAAGTAAATTCGAGAGAGCATGAATGAGTGGCTAAGTGAGCTCACCAATGTCATGATACATGCATAACAGGCCTGAATATACTCCGTATTCTTGTACTCTGACCCAGGTCCATTTTGCCCTGTGACTAACGGTTGAGCTGCATCATTCCTCGGCCTGATAACCGGCCGTTGGGATGGAAAAGGCCATGGCTTGTAGTGACGCTGTGAGACATGGCGGTTTAATAACTAACTAGTTAGTTTAAGTAGCTAACTCGTTAGTTAGCTAATATAACCATGGCTCGGCGATTGGATTAGAATGTTATATAACTACGAGAGAGCTTCCGCATTCCCTCGTCGCTCGAGACGGTAGCAGGGAAGAATACGGTTATCCATCCTGGGCCTCGAACCATTCTTCATACTCGCTCTAGATGTCGGTTGCTTGTGGGCTCGTTGGTTGCTGTATACGAGTGGTTGGTCAGGCCATCTTTGTCGGCCCAAGTATGGGTCCGCAGAATCCGCGACGGGCTAGACTCCGATAGAGCAATCTAAGAACGAGCCTTTGGAGAGATTGAAGGACTTATACTGCTGTGTATCCCGGGCTGTGGCCGAGCTAGTAGCATGTCGTTGTTGGTCAGGCGCCCGGTTTAGCTGTGTTGTTATGCGGGCTTGTAGTACGGCTGCCCATTCCTTTCACTCGGATAGTCTGCCTCCAAACATGGCCTCTTTAAAATGATTATCAAGCTAAGCACGTAGAATATCACCGAAATCATCACCTCTATACCGGATCCCAGTCTATATCCGGCAGCTTCGTTTAAGTTGGGACTCCAGAAGGGGATGGTAAAGGAGATAGTTTGCTGAATGACATTGATCAGCTGCAGAGCCGACAGCGCTTGAGATACATGGCAACCAATGCAAGACATCTTGAGAGGCGTGGTAACGAGCTGCAGCCCGAGGTTAGAAATGGCAAACCCAACCAAGGTGCAATCAAATGACTGCGGTTTTTGTAAAGTCACACCAAGGATGACCACGCCCAGGACTACGTTGATGTAGCCAAGTAAACCGACAAGACGAGCTTCCAGTTTCTCTGCGTCTACTGTCGTCAGCAGCAGTGGTCCGGCGACGCTCCCGGTTCATGGTTCAGTCGCTGCCCGGGCCTGCCAACCGCTCCCTCAGCAGCACGCCAACCAACGGCCCCAGGAAGAGCCCCTGAGCAATCCCTGGGAGGGGCATAAGTTCCAAGACCTGTGTGCTGTCCTCTGGGCAGGTAATTATGAAGCGGCTGATGATGACAATTAACCACCGAGTCCACTGTCGTCCGAGATGGTGAACAGGAGAGCCACCAGTGACACTTACTAGGGTTGCTCCAATAAGGTAGGTTGCTGTCTGAGGAGCAAGCTTGGAACTCCATCTCATGATGGCTAGGAGTAGGGAGAGCGCTCGTGAATCTGGGACAGGCATCACAGAAGCCGCATTGCAGTAGTACTCCGTAGAATGAGGTATATCCGAAGCCATGGCCCAGCTCTGTGAATTTCAGGTGTCAGAACTGCTGTAGTCCTTCGTCGGCCAATAAATATTGTCCCTCGTTGTTAGTTATCTTAACTTGTTGGCCCCATTTTTCGAGATAGCTGGCCCTTTCTATGAAACCTTTAACCGCCCCGAATTTCTAACATCTAACACTGTGCATGAGATTATGCATAAATTTCCTTCCTTAGCTTGGGGTTTTACCTCCCAGAACAAAGGCAGTCTTCTACAGGCGATCATCCGTTGTGCCTGCAAAAGTAATAAGCCTGGGCGCTAAAACCTTGCCATATTCAAGCATTCTTACTATTCTGTTAGCCCGCATGTCTGGTTGATGTTGGATACCCACAGGCAAACGTTGTCTGTCCAGAATTTCTTGAACTTGGCGGGATTGAATGGCTCTGGCATGTCCAAAACGGTGTTTCAGCTTGCCGCCTGTAAGGAGCAAGCGGATTTCCATCGAACAAAGAATTTCCTAATATTATCAAGGGCCCTTTCCTTCATGCTGGCAGCTTGGGCTAACGAGTTAGCCCGTCCAATCACTGCTATCGTGTAGTTAGCCGCCAGCAATATGACCCGAAGTTCTGGAGACTCAATCCCCTGCATCGCGTATCCTCTGCATAGCGTATTTGACATCCAAAAATAGCTGGCTCAAGTCCAAGTCCATACCGGTAACTTGAAACTATGATCATTATCCATCTGCCCTTTGCCTTGGCTCCTCCCCTCCCGCGAAAATAACATGGAGGAAGTCTTCATACACTCCGTATTTTGGTTGGAATTGAACTGTCAGGTACGGCGGAATTAGTGGGCACCTGCTTAAGTTTCGGGTTCGGTTCGGCCCGGTGATCTTTGAGTCGGAGAAACTATTATCCTGCTACGTAATTCAGGCCCGTGCACAATGTAACTTCTCGCGCTGGACGAAGAGGAACAACAACTGGCATGGAAGACTTAACCTATCGATAACCGCTTGCTTTTCATATTCTCTACTAGATATGACAACTATGGTATCCACAGACCGTTTTCCTGTTTGGGGCGGTGGATATAGAGTGAAAGATACCCACGGCGACAAGCCAGAGTTCAGGCTGGGATGCAACTCGGCTGAGGAGGCACAGCAACAGCCTGGAAGACGCTATGGCATTACTCCTTAGAGGAGGGTACCATGCACATAGGCCTGTTATTTCCCTGCCCGAGGCTGTTTAATGCATAAATTTCTGCCTAACCGCCGACATTACGGGGCTTAACCAACATGATGAACCGGGGCACTTGGCCTTTGATATCCCTCATGTTGTCTTAGCGCCAGCTTGCTGGAAGCTCCCGCCCAATAAATTCAATAACAGGCTCATTCGAGCCTCATGTGCCCGGCAGATGAGGCTTAGATGCAGTTTTATATGGGTGGGCGCTTAAGGAATTGATTGGTGGTTCACCCCTCTTCCTCTCACCAGGGGTGACTGCTGCCTTGTGGACAACACACTCACCGAACTTTGACCCCTGTCCCTAAGATGGAGCACTTTTCGCTCCCTCATGCCCAAGTTGATTCGCCAAGGTACACTCGATATTCAATCTCTATACCGTTAGGCGACGAGCGACCGGCTAAAAATACTTCACCAAACCCCCCTCTGGGAGAACCATCATTCTACAAAACACACAAGAATCTGAGATTCACCCTACCACCAACTGCTTCACTATCAATCACCCTATTATCAACGTTCAATCCCAACGCCGTTTTCTTTGCTACCCCTGCCTTTCTTTAGTTGATTTCTTCCACAAAAATGGCCACCTCGCTTCTTGAGTACCTTACCCAGCCTAACCCGGTAGTTGACAACAGCCTTCAGGCTCGCAACCTGCAGAGCATCTACCCTCTCCTAATCAACCATCTCCTCAATATCCTACTAAAGAAGAAATTACTGGGATGTGCTGGATACCAGAGCGGTCTAGGTGGCAGTACCGAACAAGACGTGGCTCTGTGGGTCTCATACGCCACGGAGTTCCGATCCGGAGTAGTGATGGAGGTTATTATTACATACGACGGACATGCGAAGGAGGTTCTCAATGGGTACGAGCCGAATCCGAAGAAGAGGAAGATGAAGAGGAAGAGGAAGACGACGACAGTGATGAAAATGAGTCTAGCAGGTATCTTCCTCCGGCATCTAGTAAGTATCGGAGGTATTAAGACTATCACGAGCCTGGTGTTCCACTTATTTGTGTCTCTTTTTTGATTCCATTTCTTGGTTCTCTTTAGCTTTCCGCCTCCTTTCAAGGCGTTCTTCTGACTGTTTTCGTTTTTAAGAAAAAGGAGAGAAAATTCGATTAGCCAGTGTGTCTTAGCAGAAAATGTAATAATGGTAATTCTCTGAACAAAATTTTGATAAAACTTACTTCTTTAAGCATTTTTCGTAAATCGGCAGCTCGTATCTCATCTTCATACCCTTCCGCTATGGCTATGCCCCTTATAATGTTCTCTTTAAGAATTTCATTTATCGAGCCACTAATCACTTCACCATCCCTTACACATTCCACCCATTCACTAGCTTCCTTATCAAACGACTTGAAGTATTGCCGACGCTTTTCATTTGACCATAGAGCCCGCGGGTACGGATATGTTGTGACACGTCCAAGATCAACAAGAAACGAGCCACGATAGTTTCTAGGCTGGGTGTCGTCAGGGAATAGAAGTGCCTTACGGGCAATCTTCATTTTTCGCCGGATCTCTGGGACATCATCGAGTGTCATTGGATTTGGTCTATAGTCTTTGACGATCGCCCATGGGGTATGATGACTGAGATACTTGAGCCGCTGTTTGCCAGATAGTTTCATCCAGCCATGGCACTTAACAGCCCAGGTACCGTTTTTACCCAGGCTATCCAGCCTAGCAAATGCTCTAGCTTCATTCGCTATAGGGCTAACATAGTGTGTTTCTCGTTCCTTGAGACGACGCTTAATTGACAGGGGAGCATCGAATCTCCATTGTTTGAACTTCAAGGGCTACGAGTAAGAATCAAACCAGTTCAAAAATCCAGGAAGGAGGGGCATATAATACTTACCACCTTAAGAGCATAATCACGGCCTTCGATCTTGACCAAATAGACGTCACCTTCCGTACCTCCTCCTAGAAATTGTATATAGCGGATTGGCTTTTCATGGTGGACAAAACGACGCAGCTGGGGATGGGATGTCGATTTCCGAGTCGGATCATCCATGGGGAGGTCAGAAAGCCAGCGACCTATCATCGAATCATCCATAAACGATGACATTCTGGCTTTGTTTGAAAAAAAAAAAAAAAGAAAGAAAAAAAAAAAAAAATATCGTTACATCGACACCTCCCCCTGCACGTTATATGTGCCTGTCTTGTTGTTCGTTCGTTCCCCTTTGGCAAATAAGATTAAACTTCAAATTAGAACTTCCTGCCCGGTCTGGGCTGCTCCACTCGGATAAACTAAGTTCCCGGCTTGGCACAACCCAAAACCAACAACAAACCATTCGCTTATATAATAAATATTACGTAATAAATCTAAACCGTATCCGGAAGTCTATAAACAACCTCGAAATAAAAAAGCTGGACAAAAACAAGCAACTTTTGAATATAAAATCAGCAGAACTCTCTATATACGGCGCTATATTTAATATCAATAATAACTATGGCTCATCGGTGGAAGTTGTAATGGATCTTCGTCAATTGGACTCCTTTGCCGCCCGTAGGTAACTATATGTTGTGATGCCCCCCGCAGGCCAAGTCAAGCTACAACCAAGCTGGGTTACTCCTGAATATATCCACGAATAACAACAAAAGTGGCTATTATTGCATGCTGGTTTTCGAGCTCTGAAGAAGTAGGGAAGAAAGCGTGCCAAAGAGCCAGTGCAATGATCCAGTGCTAATGTGCGTTTTTGCAGGGAGAAGCCGTGTCCAGTGAATGCCTTTGTTTACGCTTTATGCACGGCAAGCCGCCGACATCTCGATTCGGCCCTCTAACCACAGCCTCCCATCACAGAGAACAACCCTGCCACCGCTTAAATTTTAGGTCCAGGTGCACATCTTCCTCGACACCTTTTGCCCGTTGAAGGCATTGACCTACAAACCAACCTCCCCACATATAACTCTTTGCAGAGAGTCGCGCTCTTCTGCAGAAAACAGCCACCTCGCTCGCTGGATGAGCCCCAATGCAGCCCCGAGCTGAAATGATAGCGAGCCTAGATCACAGAGAGAGCTTTGCGTCTGGAGCAGGGGGAGATGGCAAATTACAGCAGCACCGGTTCCAGCACCAGCACCAGTAGCGACACCAGCACTTCTCTCGGCCTCAAGAGCAAACTATCGTCAACAACCCAAGCCTCCTTGAAGATAACGCCCGCAAATTCCCCTGTCCTCAAACCGGCTTCGAACTCAAGAAACCAGTACAAATCAGCAAGTTATCTCACCACACTTTCCCTCCAAACCGTTATCGGCACAACCACATCAAGCTCAAATGGCTTCTCATACCACGAACCCTCTCGTTCTTTTGCCCTCTGCGCTGGCTCTGCTGCCGTTCTCGCTGAGCTAGATGAAGACCTGTCCGTCTCTCAGCGTTTCTTTCGAGCACGACCGACAGCCACCAGTGTCAATCCTGTCCTTTCCTTCTATAATCCTCCGGGTCCGCCAACCACTCCAGAGTCACGACTTAGACCACCGCAGGCCTCGCTACGGTTGTCCACATCGGCTAACTCGCCTATATTCTCCAATTCACCAAATGCAGCAGAGTGGGCGGAGAGCATTGCGTCGAAATCATGGACATCGCGGGAGAGGATAAAGGCTGTTACCAGTGTTTCCCTCAGTCCCAACGGCAGGTTCCTAGCTGCTGGGGAGGTACGATTAAGCCATTCTATATTACTTGTGGGTACAAAATGCTAACATCGGCTGCTCACGTAGACGGGATATAATCCTCGTATCCTCTTGTTCTCAACAGCCAAGGATTCTTCTGCAGACGTCCCCCTCTCAATAATCACGGAACATACCTTCGGTGTTCGAAGTCTTGCCTTCAGCCCTAACTCACAATTCTTAGCAAGTTTAGGTGATATTAACGATGGATTTCTTTATATATGGCAGATTAACCTTCGAAATGGCTCTGCGAAACTTCACTCGACGAATAAATGCACATCGTTTGTTCGAGATATGTGTTGGATGGGGAATAATCTGATCACGTATGTCCCAAATTCACACTGGCAAATCCAGACGTAAAGCTAATGATACAGCGTTGGCATACGGCACGTAAAGGTTTGGAGGCTCGGAGATGCCGTTAGACCGTGTTCCCCGTCAAAACAGCGACCTAATGCCGATTCTCCCGCTATATCCAGCAGCCCACTACCAGTGGCATTGTCGGGAAGAAACTGCCTCTTGGGAAATTTGCATCAAAGTACATTCACGTGTGTCTCTAGCATTTCCGACACCGAAGCAGTTATTTGCTCTGATTCAGGGGTTGTTTGCTTCCTGGATGATTCTAATAATCAGCAAAAGCTTCAATACGTTAAAAGATTTGATATCGGTGTTTCATCCGTTGTCGTTGATAGCAACTCTGGCTTCATTTGGTTCGGTGGTCGTAGCAGGCAGTTGGAGAAGTGTTCGATTGACGAGATGAGATCCTCTCCAATGATTTCGCCAACTTCGGCAAACATTGATACCCAACCGTGCCCGACACCAAAAAAGGCTTCCATTGTTTCCATGGGTATAATTGATACACATATGATTACAGTTGACTCATCCCGGACCCTTCGCATATGCCCTCTAGATCCATTGAGCAAGGACAACATTGAGAGTGTGGCAGATGTCTCCGTATCTGCACACCGAGATTCAGTATTGGGTATTAGCACGGTTGAGACCCCTAATAGCAAATCGTCGGACTTTTTTACCTGGTCCTGTGGAGGGACAGTCAGATTTTGGAATGTTAATGGAACTTGCTGCGACACATATAAAGTGGACTTGGAGCAGATTTCGGATGAGGATGAGGACGCCAATGAACTGAAGGTTTTACGTGCCACAGGTGGTATAAAAATGTTTGTATCCGGAGATAGATATGGCGTAGTAAGGTAAGTCCAGTTAGCTATCGAGCTATTAACTTCCACTCATCGGCTAATTAAAAATAATAGGACGATTAATGGGGAAACATGGAAGTGTCAGAACGAAGTTAGAGCTCATGGAGCTGAAGTAACAGATATTGCGATCTACTCAGACCCTGACACTACTTTAATTGCGAGCTGTGGCCGCGATAGAATGGTCCAATTATTCAAAAGTAAAGACTATTCAATTGAGGTAATACAAACCATGGATGAACATGTTGGTGCAGTTGGGCAGCTACTATTCACCAAAGATGGGAAGAGGCTACTATCTTCTTCGGCAGACAGGACAGTTATTATTCGCGAACGAATGACCCGAGAGGATGACAATGGCTCTACGGTTGCGTTCCTCCTCTCAAAAGTCATAACACTGAAGGCGTCGCCAGTTTCGATAGTAACTCCCCCTGGTGATCCAGACACGCTTATCTTATCCACGATAGATCGGCTTATACAGAGATACCATATACCATCTAGCCGTCAGGTACACTCTTTTCGTGTTCTTGACCCGGAAAGCGGTGATACTGCTGTGATGAGCTCTCTCATTCTTGAAAAGGACTACCCCGAATATGGCCCAAGACTTCTTATTGGCGTATCCACAACCGATAAATCCATCAGGGTATATGACTCGGAGAAGGATACCCTCCTCACCCGAGAGTTTGGCCATACTGAAGGAGTCAGTGACGTTGTCCTTCTTGAAAGCAATGAGCCAAATTCTACAGGCGCGATTAAAAGGACACTCATTAGCACCGGCTTGGATGGGGTAATCATGGTTTGGAATCTCTCTACCCAACAGCAATATTTGCAAGAAAGTCCGCATCTTCTTGTCCACCCTGAAGAGGAGACTCCAACAAAGGAACTTACCGCAGCTAAACCTCCGCTCCGCCGTATCCTTTCTAAGACCGAATTGGCTGGTTTCCAAAAGTCTGATAATGTTATGACAACACCAACCCCGGTGCGTGACTCTCCTCCACGTATCCGCAAGAAGACCTCTAGATATACGCTAGGAGGTGGTTTAAAAAACGGCGTCAATGGTGTATCAACAGTATCTACACCGCCTCTTCCTCCTCGCCGATCTCCCACTGCCCCATATTCCGATAGCAGAAACCAGGCCAACCGGTCTCCATCACCACCAAGCCCCCGGCACATGTCCAAAACAGTAGCCAACAAAACAAGCAGTGGCAGTCTGCGGGCCAATGGCAGCGTACGCCGGCCATCGATGCTCGAAGTTCGCACTCGCACGTCTAGTAAACCGAACTGGAATTCATCTCCTAACAGCAACTCGCCTAGTGAATTCGGAAGCCTTAACATGTCCACCGAGCAAGTCTGCCGTACGCTCCGTGCGTATCGCAAAAAGCTTAACGTCTCATCTGATAAATTTAACCTCCAAGGAGCCAGTGAACTCGAGCGAGAACTCGATCTGACCGTCCGTTCGTTGGGTGACAAAATGAAGAAGACCCAACTAAACGGGACGAAAAGTGACTCCCACTCCAATGGAAACACGCCAACTGCCTGCAGAAACAAAGATCTTTCGCCACTAGCTTCAAAGCAAGGCCGAACAGCCCGTCGGATACCCTCAACGCCTAATCTAAGTCAAGCGCGGAAGTGCAAAGGACATCGAACGAACTCACTAGACGCAGATGGAGAAGGATAGTCTATATGACAGCATCTCATGCTTTATAGGCTAATTAGGTTGCCTACTTCTTTCCATTGTTACAATGCTCTGGCTACCTCACTTCTACACACCTACCTATCTCATATCCTTCCGTTCAACCCTTTCTTATATGTTCTTTCTTCTATTTATTATGTTTGGCATAGCCAGTTATTCCTCCTTGCGTCAATATCTGCGCGGGTTGTTGGTCTGCATAATACGGTCTGGACGGGGTCCTCCACTTTTGATCAAGCAAGTTCATTTACTGTCTGCAAACTTGTTTCCTCCCCTTCTCTCTTCTATGATACCAAAGTCATTTAATTGACATTCTATTCTATTCTATTTCTTGGCCCGCATTATTACATGATATTTGTTTTCATTTCTTGTTTTATTGAGAACCCGGGTAAGCGCATTATACACCGTCTGCTTTCATTTGTCTAGGGATTTTCTATTCTGTCTTTTACAAATCAACACTCTTGAGTACACATAAGGCCCATCCGCATGTTTTCTTTTGCTTTATACCTCAGAAATGACTGTTTATAATAATGACTAGTAGACTCGAGTTAATCTAGAAATACTAGTGGCTGTAAGTCATAAATTATCAACCGCTTGCTCTCCCAATAATGCCCCATATGCAGCACACATTCTTGAGGAGAGGCCGTCTGTATCCCATCCATTGAGCTCGATGTTCTGAACTAAATTAACTGCCTCATTGAACCATTCGCGGCTCAAGCTGTTCTTCATGTCCCTGTAGAGTATTAACGACTGATTATACACCGCAACGGGTAACCATTGCATTTCCCAACAAAGCTCCTTCACCATCTCCGGTGATAGTTGAGGCCTTAGGTTTGTTGCTATGTTTCCTAGCTTTTGTGCTTCACCGACGATAAATTTGGTACATTTCTCGTCACATTTAAGTCCAAATCGATAGAGACAGCGAAGCCAACGAAAATGTTTCAACACGTCACATAGAGTTCCAGATGTCAGCTTCAATGCGGTAGCTCGCTACGTATGTCGTTAGTATTGCTTCAACAGTTAGAATCTTTAGACTTGCCTGGAAAGCTTTATAGACAGCTGGGGTAGTTAATCCCGAAGACATAATCTGGTCTGCGAGGATGCAAAGCAATTGTGGATCTGAGCTTGTATTGCAATTACCCAGGATTGTGCAAATGCCTTCTTCGTTCTCTGCATTCAAATTAATTGCACGTTGGAAATAAAGTGCCACCATAGAACGAACAACATCTGAAAACTTCACCCATATTTCTGGAGCAATGCCTTGACGATGAATTGTGAGATAATCTTGGCACTGTTGCAGATGCATTCTTGCACTGGTAAAGTACATGTCCTAAAATCTCGTTTCAGCCCTATGATTATATGTCATAATGAATGATTAAAGTGAATTGGCTCACCCTTGAAATGTGATTCTCGGCAAGATACGCTATATCTAAGTGTGCTAAGGTTGCCATGCTGTGACACCAAAAATTACGCTGATTGATGTTGGATAAAGTATCAACGTTTAACCCTCTGGGAAGCAGGCTGAGGATCTAAATGCAGTGTCAGTACAAAAATAGTCAAGGCAAATATAGGGATTTTATGCGACTCAAACCTTTATGCAACAGTCTATAAGTCTAATCGAAGACTTCACGTCCCACAGTGCATAATTCTTAATTACCAAATTATAACCATTTGAAGAAAACCACTCCAGGTATTGAACTTTTTCTTGTTGTGGTCTTGTGTCTAGGCAAATACTGGTAGAAACTAATAGGTTGCCTAAAGTTAGAATCATATATCTCTCCATTTCCATGGAGCTAGGTAGTTATATATAAAACATCTTACATTTCTCAAAGAGCTCGCAAATCCCTTCAACACCCCCCGGTGTCAGCTGTTGGCTTGCTGAGAATTCTTTGGCCATAATACGGATGCAGCCCCTTTTAAGAGTCAAAAATTGAGGTGAAAAAAATCAAGGCTGGGTAAAACAGTATAAAACTTACTTGAGAAGAGGAATAGTGTGATTTCCTGCCCGATTGTTGATGAGTAGCTCCCTGAAAATGGGGCCAAGAATAGAAATCTTGTTGCAAGATTCGGCATAGGCAATGCAAGCACACATGGAACTAAAGTCTGCGCTCCTGTAGAGCATATCTAATACACTCTTCCTTACTATTATATACTTAAAGGTTAGGAGATATCACATCTATCCGAGAGACAATTACATACCGGTATCTAGCTTTCCATGCTTTAATGCCAACTGGTATAACAGAAACTGGGAAGTAACGGATAATTCCTTGAAGTTTGAGAGCTTATTAAAACGAGAAGGGGTAATATTTTCTAAGCAAGATGCGTAAAAAAGCATCTTCCTGTATTGGAAAGGTCAGACGAGTTCCAGGAGATTGGTGGCATTGGTATCCAGATCACGAGCATATCAATCTTTGGTTTTGACATTCACTTCTTCTGATATGGGGATAGTACTCTACCTTCGGATTATATCTTTGTCGCCTTCTTCTAGAACCTGGTGCTGGGCAAGTTCACACCAATCATATGCCAAGTTGACGTTCCCTGCGTTGGAACAGATATCTGCTTTGGAAAGGAACATCTAAATTAAGTCAGCCTGAAGAATATCAACATTCAGATCACACCACATAGCCTTTACCACTCGTGCAGCCTGAGAAGCTTCAAATCCAAGTCCAACTATTTTCTGTTTTGCACCGCAAAGTGACACTAATAGCGATGAGGACTGCTTTAAGCCTTCAGACATATCTCTATCAGCCGTACATAGCCGTAGGAAGACTAGCACCAATGTTTCTATGAGTGCAACTTCACTTTCAAGCTGTTGGAGCTTGCCCGATATCAGCTGTTGGAAGATAGGATATGCTAAACCTGGACTGGACATTGTCAGTCTTGTTGCCAGTTTTTAGAGTTAAATGAGGTTCATATACCGCTGGAGCCAGAATTGGTGAATGCAACAAAGCACGCTGCATAAGGTTAGGCATATTTTTAGTCAAAGACCTCGAATAATTAGATGCTAGGTGATTACCTGCTCAGGTGGGATTCGGCAAGTCCTGATTCGATCAGTAACTGAAGATCTATCTCTCACGTTAGTACTGGGTATTATAGTACTGTAATAGGTTTCCCTAGAGCATACGCTGGCTACAACGTGCGTCCCCATTCTCTACATATGGAATTAGAGCGATGGAAACCTCGAATCCCACAAACATAGTACTAGGTTCGGAGCCATAATTCTATGTTGAGGATTAGTAAGGTGTCAATCAATAGGGGCCTGACACATACCTCTTCTAGCTTACTATACAATTTCTGGATAGGTTCTATGAATAGAGTTGAATTTTTCTGTAGTTCTAGGTACGCTATGACTAGAAGCAGCACGTAAGATTGGAGAGCGAATGGATACAGAATAATTAATCACGTACTAAGTTCATGTAGGAGAGCTTGTCGAATAGACTTTAACTGTTCATCTTCTTCTTGCTCCTCACTCTGTGCGGAGACAACGCCCTGACAGCATTGTAACCATTCGATAGCTGCTGGATCACCTTCCCTTTTCTTCGCTATTCCGATACGGAAGAGTATGTCAGCAGCCTTTGTTTTCCACTCAAGACTCTGGATAGCGAACGGAATAGATTGCTGGGCTATTCCAAGCCCCTTTAATCTATCTTTCCATGTCTGCGTGGAATCAAGGTTAGATTTGGTAGATTTGATTCCATTTCTCTCACGAAACTTACAAGTATAGACAGTTGGAACGAGCATTCCGCAGCTAGTTCACGAGCTTCTGAGGATTCCTCTTTGGAAATCCCAGAATTATGCCGATCCACCTTTTCTAAAACCATCTTGGCAAGATCTGAATGGCCCATACCTATTCCTCTAATGTCAGTATTGTTCAGCTTCCTCATGTGGTCAATACTAACCAATCATCTTGTCTGTGGTATGCAGCCCTGCCTTAAACAGACGGTTGTACTCTGGCCACCTAAGTCAACGAAGGCAATACCTTGCAGTATCCACTGTATACCACTCACCACCACCATCACTTTCGCTGTCCATACCCCATTCGATGAGTAAAAATGCAAGAACCATCACTAAATGAGCCATGTTAACTACAATACGACAGGGGGAAAGCGGTAACGACATAAACTAACATTTGCACAGAATTTTCATGGTCCCCATCCGATAGGTGTTCGGCGGATTGGATAACTCTTTGCTGCACCTGTTCCACGTTTCCGTACCGAGGTCATCAAGCGTTCTCCGTTTTGGGGGGGCGAGCAGTGTAGAATCGAATGAGAACGACTGGGACAGGTATTCATCCAAATCGTTTTCGGATGTTAACGTGGTGGACTCTCCGGTTTTGTTCAGTACTTTATGAAGATGGGAAAACATGCGGGACGCCAGCGCTGTCTGGTTGTTAGATATGGTACGTAAATATCTGTAGCCTGAGAAATTACTCACGCTGAAGCCACTCGTCTATAACGAAAACCATCCTGGTTATTTTGAAATCTACCTTTCGGATGAAGAGCTAGGTAGTTTAGGTTGTTAGTCCATGAGCGGTGATGTTGTTTGACGTCGCATTCAAGCCAAAAGTTGACGTTGATTTTAACGTCCAGATAAGGTAGTCGTCCGTGCACACTTCCTAATTGGGAAATATAAACACGGTATCATATAAAACAACAAAACGCAGCAGCGGACATGTGGTGTGAGCTGTGTCAGATTGATGGGCTTATCTACACTCTAGTACTGAGAACCACCTTTCATGTCAGCGACGAACAGAAGCAATAATTTAAGGGGAGGAGGCGGAAGGGGGAAATGTTGCCATCATATCGTCTTTGATGCTTCGAAATAGAGCGCTGACAGTTGCGCTGTCAACGGGTAAATGGTAAGAAACAAATCAAAATCAAAAGCCCTTGGCCGCGATCTCTCAGCATACAGGTATATGCGTACACGAACTCCATGTGACTTAAAACAGGAGGGAAAAGTAATCCATTCGCGGAACACGAACAGCAAAGGGTATTGAATAATATTTACACAAAATAGAATGTGGGCTAACGTAAGTAATTGTAACGTGGACAAGTCCGTACTATCGATGGACATCTATGCGTTTGGTAGGGAGGAAGTTCCCTACTATCAAGGAAGGGCTGCGGAAGAACTGGTTAACTAAGGTCGATCAACTTGAGGCTAGAGAAAACAGTCCTTACATGTTATGGTTATCTCGTCGGATGGTAAAGGAAAAACAGCAGGGAATGTTCTTCTTTGGACTGTTCGGGTCAGGGCTCTTAAGCGTACAGCTTGTAAGCATCGCCTTTTGCGAACTGTCAAACGCAATGGCGCCGAATTTTTCCCAGTAGCTAACGAGTTGATCTTCAACCACTATTTCATGAATAGCAAGTTTACCCTGCTCGTCGTTAGATATGCTGCATCCGACCAAAGCAGGTTAGCCAAAACTTACGTCTCTGAGTGAGTCCATTGGTACATCTATCAGTTGGGCCATCTCCTGATTGCCTCTGAATATCTGTCCTGTTCTTCGCCATAGACAAGCCGGTATGGCCATACTTGCAAAGACACGGTCGTACTCCATCAAACTCCGCTCGAACCACATCTCAACTAGGACTAGCTCGATATCGGTAAGAGCATGCATACGCTCTCTGAATGCAGGACGGAATTTATCCAGCTGACGAAGAATTTTTTGCCGGGAGCTAGGCTGTAGATGCTCTTCCATGTACTTGTTTAGCCGAGCATAACCGTTTACATAGTTAAACGGCTTCAGCAGGCCGGCATCGTATTTTGCCTTAAGGAGCTTGTTCATACGTTCTTCTGGAGGGTCAGTGCCGGAAGGGTCAGCGGCAGTCATGTAATACGTCTCCTTGGCCTTGTCGTTTCCAACAGTACTGTTGGGCCGTTGTATGGAGCCTCCTTGGGACGCCTGTGACGGGTTGATAAACTGCGACGGTGATATTGTGGAAGATTGCTGTTGTTGTGGGTATCCTTCATTATTCCGAGAAAGATTCGTGGCCATAGAATTCAGTAGAGACATGTCGGAGTAGAGACCCCGAACCTCGTCGTTGGGGTACATCGATCCGTCGTCTAGGAGACTGGTGCTGAGAAAGTCGTTGAGCAGATTATACTCGTTGGTGAATTCGGGGGCGTTAAACATGTAAGATGGGTGGAAGGAATGGATATCTTGAAACTGGCTGTTTTGCCCACCAAGCCTCCATTCGTTGTTATAACCCATTACTATGCGAGAAGTCAGTTTATACTACGTGACAACATATGTATGGTTCGCTCGATCTATCTTACAACCCTGTTGGCCAACGTCAATATTTGGGCCGGAAGCGGCTATATCCTGCGGCCGAGCGCTCTGGGAGGAAGAAGTCAAGGCAGGCGGTTGCATAGAAAGAGCTGTATCGGGTAGTATTGGATCGTCTAGGGTGTCACGCCCATCAATAGTCTGCGACATGCCTTTACCCTCAAAATCATTGTTGGCAGTTGTACTCTCGTCAGCTACAGAGGTGGCAGCAACTGTGCCTTCTGTGTCGTTCTTCACGCGTTTGGTAGGTTCACGAGGTTTGTCATGGCATAGATGACCAATGTTGCGTTTTATACAGCGGCTACATGGTCGTCCCTAGAAGCAGCAGAGAGACGGATCTCCCGGTCAGCAAAGGCAGCTCGCCACAGAAAGCTCAACGAGTCATGGGATTGGACAAAAAGTCTCTGAAATAAGGGAGGTAGAGATGGTCGTACCGAGTCGCAAGTCATATGCTGTTCAACGTCATCACAGAAGAGGGTGATCTATGGTTAGCCAAATCTTCTTATCCGGTACAGCCAAATCCAGCATGCAAAAAGATTGCCTATAGCGAGGGCCCCTAGAGCCTTGGGAAAGGAAGGGAGACAACATGCTAGGTCGGATAGAGTGTGGGAAGCGATAAGAAAAAAAAAAAAAAAAAAAAAAAGAAGTCAAGAAAATACGATGATGAAAGGAGATCTTGGAAGCTCACCGATCGACGGCAGTAGACGCATGCTAGAGAGCGAATGAATGGTCAGCGGTTTTACTTCCGATGCGCGCCATGGAGCAAAAAAGCAAGCAGGAAAGGAAAGAAAAAAAGGAAGCAAGAAATGAAGAAAAAGAAAAGAAAGGGAAGGGCAGTGGCAGCGGCAGCAGGAGATTATATGTTCAATATATAAAACGTTCAAGGAGAGAGGGAGAGGGGGGAAGAGGAGAAGAAGGTTGAGCCCTGCAGGCCTGATTTGCAATGTGGAACCCGCATGTAAGTATAGAAATTCCATCACCGGCTGGTCGAAAAATTGCAGACGGGGAGGGAGGGAGAAGCAGTGACGAGGGAAGATGCAGGTTCTCGCATGTAACCTGCTAGGTCTTGCGGCTTTCTGAACTTCTGTTACTCACCGTGGTTGACCTTCCGTCTCTTCTTGGGGCTGGAACCCGTAGGCGGCGCCCTATCTGCAGCTTCTGCAGCCGGTTGAGCATCCCCAGTGCTCATCACGCCCATCGTAGGCTTGGCCGACTTCGCGGTGTCCTGGTCCTTCTCAGCTGAAGCAGCAGGCGCAGCAGACGCTGTTGGTTCTGTGGCACCATTGCTACGCTTCCCTTCTTCCAGCGCACCCGTCGCGGTCTCGGCAGCCTCACCACCCATTGCATCGAGTGCCCAATCGTCTGGGATGGGCTTTCGGTCAGTTCTCCGGCAGAAAGAAAGGGTAAGACGGCTACGCAGCCAGAAAGAGGGTTTCGGTCGTCGGGTCGGTTTTTCACTTCACGGTTGTCAACGTTCCACACGGGCCTGGGCAACGACGGCCTGTCCCATCAGGTACCACTGCAGCAGCGCTCGACGGGGGTGTTTCTTTTCTTCGTGTGGGCAGGGCAGGGCAAGCCAGAGAGCCAAAGCAAAGCAAAAGAAAAAGCAGCGAAACGAGCAACGACCCGAAGCACGGGCGGGATGGCGGAACGGCGGAACAGCGGGAACGCCCAGAAGTGGACAGACAGTCTCGATGGAGCAGCGTGCAGGTGTCTGTCCAGTGCTGATTCGGGCTGTACGTATATTATGTGTGTGCTGGCGGGAAGGGGTCTGGGATGGCTGGGTTTTTGCTGCGTTGTCCGTCCGGTCTGCGAGTTTCAAATTCTGGGTTTGTCGGCGAACAAAAAGGCCATCGCACCAAACAGATGGCCTCCTCCAATAGATCCCTTAACTGACGCGCGCTCGAGATTGGTAAACATGGATGGAGCTTCTGGGCGCATGAAGTCTCGCGGTGTCGAAGGGACTTTTTGCAGGCGTTGTAAGTTGAGAGGTGAAGGAGAGGAAGAAGCCGAAGAAAGTCAGGAAAAAGAAAAAAAGGGGACGCCACTCCAGCTTTAGTAAGTTAGCAGTGCCAGAGGAGCCTGGCCATGATGGAGCGCAGTACTCCGTAGCAGTCGCGCAGTAACTAACAATGATTATAATGCTGGACACCGGGCGTGACGACGGGCAAAGAGGCCGTCGATGCTGCGCAGGCTGACGATTCATCTCTTACGGCGTCCTGGCGCGTCGAAAATCCCTTCACATGCAGTAGTTGGCGCAGTGCCGAGCAATGATACAATTCAATAGTTGATGTCCCGCAGCTACTTGGCAGCGTATAGATAGATGGCTTGTTAGGATTATCCTAGATGATTGCTTGCCTGGAGGAGGGGAGGAGAGTAGGCGGTCTCCGTTCTGACTCCCACTTTCTCGGTGGTTTTGATATTATCTGGGGTTGGTGGCGGCCGTTTCGATGGCGAGCCGCCAACGTTGTGCTGGAGACGGCCCTCTCGCCGTGCTACTCAGGGCCTGGAACTGCGTAGAGAGGAGAAGCTTCCAGACCTGGAGGGGCGCAGACTCCATCCGGAGACGCTGCATAAACCTCCGCAGTGCTCCGTGTATGTATATGGAAGTATACCGAAGCTGACACCGCAACCCTTGCTCAGAATTAATCCGCCCCGAGTACCTTGCTCGTGCAGGGACGAGACCTTCTTCCGTCTGCCCCCGTTGCCAAGTTCATCGATCTTAAATTGATCCTGCTGATTCCGCATGATTCCTCCCTTTCATCACATTGACTTAATTCCTTCAGCCGAGTGGGAGCATGTCAAGTGCCGCCTTCGCCCGGGAGATTGCATGACCGATCCCTCGTACCTGAGCTGCGTTGCCCTGCATGGATTCAAGATGGTTGCGAAGCTGTTTGATCGTGGGAAGCAGGGCTGGGTCCGTGTCGATCTAATTAACGTACATGTTAGCAATGTCACCATCATACGGGCAGCCGGCATTCCAGGACATACTTCACTAAAGAGACTCTCCTCATTCTTCACCTCGAGCCTGAACTCTGCGCTGACTGCTCCCTCCACGCTCGATTCGTCAAGTTGCTTTAGAACGGGGTGAACCTAAAAGGTCAATATATCAGCCAGCGCATTTGTAGACAGCAGGCAACATTTAGGCGCACGCACATTCTTATTCAACCTCTTCCTCTCAGCCTCTGCTGCTTTAGCATTGCGTTCTAGCTCCTCCAGCTTCAGCTTATCCTTTGCCAACTCGGCTTCTTCCCGCTTAATCTCAGCCTGTAGCAGCCGAATAGAACTCGTAGCTGCCGCCAATTGGCTCTCTAGCGCTCTCTACATCGTCCCAGCCAAGTCAGCTTTCATCAGGTGCTCATCAATGACCCCAAACGCTCGTCAATTATAACATACACTCTCCCCCAGCGCACCCTCGTAATCAAAGCTACCATCTCTTGTACCCGCTGGGAATGGCATCTTCGGTAATCGTTTGCCCAGGTTCTTGCGCACCGTAGCGAGTGCTGACTGGGCCTCAACGCGCTTCTTCTCGTCTCGATTTCGGGTGATGACCGGCAGCTCGACCGATTGAAAGAGCAGTTTCACTTTCTCCTGCGTAGAATCCGGTAGCGTCGTCCATTTCGACTTTATAGTCTCCTCGTTGATGTGTCGTATCCGAGGCTTCAGGGCAAACGGAGCATTGTTAGGCTTTCTGCGTTTGGTGTTTGCTGGAGGGGACGCAGGCTCGTGGGAATCGGCCTGTCTTCGCTTCGGCGGCATTTTTGCGCCTGATATGGGCCTGTCCTGTATGGTATCCCGGCTATCCTCTCCCTTGCTCGAGCGAGTTGCAACTATCTTGCACTCCGTCCGTCTGTTTGGCTCAAGCTGAAGCTCGTCGTTTCGTGCTTATCGCGATGTCCCGATAAGGTAAGCAGTGACTAATCATAAGATTATCTGAGTCATGTGATGCGTTTCTAGCCCAAAATCAGTCAACCCTACTATATCGTAAATTTACCTTAGTAAGCCTCCTTTTCCCATAGCGAAAAAAATCATCGCCGTCAAATCCTACATGTTAGACTAGTTCACTCAAAAAGTCAAGTTCATGTCATGCTGCCTGATACCATCATGCATATATTCGTGATCACGCCTTCATTGAAGCTAGATAGCACGGTAAAGAAAACCGCGGTAGCCCCCCCGATAGACCCGACCAAAGATACGCCTCAGTAACAGTGAAAAATACATAAATTGGGGGTCTGGACCTTCGTGGCATTAGAAGAATAGACCAAGCTGTGAGCACGATTGGCACTGGCCGTAGCTGTTTCTTTTTTCTTAGCTGCCCGCAACTTTGGACTCATGTCAGGCACCGTATGCATCTCGGCTGATCTGCATACGAGTCAACTCAGTGCAGAGGCAAAAGCAACGTTGATACCGCCATTGCTTTGAATTTGGATATACCCCCAAATAATAAGAATAAGTGGCATGGAAGCTCAAAATTATTGCTTTCGATCTATATTACAATGGCTGCTGGTGCTTCTATCCAATTGTGTGGATGGGAAAGGCCTCTCGCAAATCTCACCCACAGTTATCCAACGCTATGGCCTTCAATCTGAATCGATAAATGGCAACACCCTCAGCCATGCTGCCCTCTCTTCTGCATTCTTGGCTTCACGGTCCAGAAATTTGTTGATTCCTTCGAACAGCTGCCTTTTTGAAAGGTCATAGTCCGCTATTTCAACTCTACCATCCCAATGTTTAAATGCGCCAGTGTCTTTGATAAACTCATTCATAAGCTCGACACCTTGGGCCCAGAGCTCCACGTCTCGCTCTTGCTGCTCCACGTCGGCAGCAGAGAAATCCAAAGGACAGGGAATGCTAGGTTTACCATCGGCGGCCACGCCAACTATCGTAGGCCACGAGTCCTTGATTTCCCTCAATAAACTGTTAAGGCAAGGTTCGCAATCCGTCAACGTCAACCCTGGTAGGACGCTGACTTGTTGATGAGGCGTACTGTGTCCCTGAAGAGCCTGGAAAGTCGTTGGATTTGATCGCAGTGTTAAAGCTAGGTATAGGTTGTGTAGTGTTTGTGAATGATAGAGCGCCTTCGCTTCAACCTGTTCTTCAGCAGACATACTGTCAAAATTTGGAGGCAAACTAACCCTCCCGAGTTCCTTGGGGGTCGGACCATTATAGTCCAAGAAAGCCGGGCGGGTGACTTGCATGAAAAGTGGACAAGCACTGACTGATTGCCAGTCGATTATACCAATTATTCGACTAGGATCTTCCGGATCAACGAAGATATTTTGGGAGTGTAAGTCCCCATGCCACAAGACCGATTCATGCACGGCTTTATTTTCTGGTAGAACGTATTTTAAGACCTTCAGGTAGTTGTTCAGTGCTGATAACTTTTTGGCTGCAGTGGGATGATACTGCCTAGGCCCGTAGAAGAGGCCTTCTGGGAAGAGGGGGTATTTTAAGCCGGCATTTACACATGCAATTTCTCTGTTGGCAATGGCTTCCAAGTACGCGGTAATATCAGACCCTATTCCCAGCCAATTAGCGTTTGAATAGTCGATAATTTAAGCAAGTAGATATCCCATACATGGCCCACGATCGATGTCAAGTCCTCCTTTGCCGAAATCAAAGAAAGAACGGTGATTGGTAGGTCCAATCTCAAATTCTGGGCTATACACATCATTGCCACTCCCATCAACATAGAGCGGTGAGTTTCTTTCTGGCGTAGGAAGATCCTCCTTGTAATACAAGGCTCCTATTTTCGTGAACTTTGTCGACGCGAGGATCCTTTCAAATTCAACCACCTGTTGCAAAATGCTAGCTTTCTGCTTTCCTTTCATGGTGATCCATACATCACGAAGCATCACACCAGGTTGTTTCTCCATGATCATATATTCAGCTCCAACGGAGTTATCAGAGCTAGAGCTCCAGGCATAAACTTTCGGAATTGGAAAATGGAGGACTTTTCTCAGCTACTAGAGTCAGTCTAAGAGTATGATAGTAAGCTGATAAGGGAAAGGAGGAAAGAAGATATACAAAATCCATTGTTGCAACCTCGCTAGCAGTGGTAAAATGCTGTCGCCCTGCGTTGGGATTTGGTAGCTTCGCAATAACCTCACGGCCATCATCCATTGTCAATTGAAACACTTTATTGTGCTGTCCCTCGGAAATTTTGAGAATTTTAGTGCATGAATCCGATCCCAGTGCAGCAGTAACAACATTTAGAAGCTCACGCATGTCGAATTTGACATACCGAGCTTCAAGCTGCTGGAGCTCACCCCAGAGCCATCGCGCAGAGGTAAATCGGTGTAGTTCATCTATATTAAGACGCGAGTCTATAAAATATATGCACAATAATTTTTAGATCCCAATCAAGTAGTATGCTTGTTCGTTTTGTCGTACCTTGGAAGTTGGAGTTGGATTCGCTCATTTTGCAAGAGAATGAGCTGAAACAGCGCTTCGCAGTTCTGCGG